ATACTATACTCTCAGGGTTATAAAAAGAATCAATGGAATAATGAATACAAGATTTAGAATACTGGTTACTTCTGAAGGAAAGAGAAAGGGAGAGAATCAGAGAGGGGTATACAGGGGATTTCAAGAGTAACATCAATTTTTTTTTCTTAAGTATTATTCTATTGTCATTCTTTATAAACGGTACATACACTGGGGCAACCCCCGAGGGTTTCTTCCCTCCTTGGGAGCTTTGTACTATCACTTTGCTCTCGCTCAATAGACCTTGCTTTGCTGTCCACCAAAAATAAACAAACTGTGCACACACTGTACTGTATTCTTTGACATGGTTTAAACATTCAGTAAAACCAAAGTAGTGAATGAGGTGGTGGGTATGTGGATATGCACATTGTTGTTAATATTTAAAGTCTGCATAATAAAATACTTTTATTAAAAAGATTTCTAGGACTAACTAAGATGTGCCCCCCACACACCCACACACCCAGCCAATCCCAGGTCCCAAACCCTAGCATGGAGTCTGCTGAAGATTCTCTCTCCTTGGGCGCCTGGGTGGCTCAGTTGGTTAAATGTCTGCCTTCAGCTCAGGTCATGATCCCAGGGTGTTGGAATTGAGTCCTGTATCGGGCTTCCTGCTCAGTAGGGAGCTTGCTTCTCTCTCTGCCTGTACACATTCTCTCTCTCTCTCTGACAAATAAAATTAAAAAGAGAAAGAAACAAACAAAGAAACAGAGTCTCTCTCCTCCTTCTGCCCCTCCCCCATCTTCCCTCCTTCCCTCTCTCTCTCAAAAATAAAATGTTGAACCAGCCTTGCATACCTGGGATAAATGGCACTTGGTCATGGTGTACAATTCTTTTTATACACTGTTGGATTTGATTTGCTAATATATTGAGAACATCTGCATTTGTTCATGAAAAACATTGGTCTATAGTTTTCTTATAATATCTTTGTCTGGTTTTGGTTTAGGGTAATGCTAGCCTCATAAAATGAGTTAAGAACTTAGCTCACAGCTTCTGTGGGGGAGAGAATCTTTGGTGGGGTGCCTCTGGCTTAATGTCTCTCATGAGGTTGAAATTATGGTGTTAGCCACAACTGTGGTTTCAACTGAAGGTTTGACCCAGGGGGAACCTGCTTCCCATCCCACTCATGCAGTGTGCTAAGTGACTGGGTTCTTCTTGGGCAGTAAGAGAGAGGACTCCGTCCCTCACTGGCTACTGCTACAGGCTGCTCCACAGAGCAACTCACAACAAGGCAGCCAGCTTCCCTCCGAGTGAGAGAGGTAGGGAGACCATCAAGAACAAGTCACAGTCTTTTTGTAACCTAATCTTGGAAGCGATAGCCCATCACTTCTGCCATTTTCCATTTGCTAGAAACATGTCACTAAATCCAGCTAACACTAATGGCAATGGGGAGCGGGGGTTTAATGAGGGTGTGAATACCAGAAGAGGGCTAATTGGAGGTAATCTGGAAGGCTGCCTACACCTCCAGACAACATTTGTCTGGTGATAGGAGTGACCCCACAAAGAAGGGAGGTGACAATACAGGAGAGAAAAGTGAAGATCTAGAAAATGCAGAGGAAATCCAGGCACAGGACCTCTGCAGTTCCTGGTGCACTGTATTTTCCAACATCTTTTCATGATTTGGCTACATGCACCTGTCTTTGATCAAAATATGTCAAAGAAATTGGTTAAATCTCTGTTATCTGTCACAGTACGACCTGTCATTTGACTTTTCATAGCCATACCCGATCTGATCACATCCCCCCGCAGAGAAACACACCTCAACTGTGTTTCTTCCCTTTCAAGTATCACCTTACACTGAAATATCTGGAGAACAGGAAATCTTTCATAGGTCAGTCCAAGCTGCACCTTGTTTCCTCCAATATCGCCTACCCCTCAACCACTGATTCTCATGCAGCCCTGTCCTGATCTGTTCCCTCTCTCACGTGTTACCACCTGTAAGCCCCAACTAACAGCCACCTTTGATTTAATGCTGCCAACCAGGACGACCTCAGGGAGATAATATGAGCAAGGCAGCTTTCCTGTTGCTGACCCCTACTTTAATTCCCCATCATGTGACCAACCGTCTAGACTACTACAGCCCACACTGTTCCCTTGTTACTGAAGGTGTGGCGTTAACAGAAGCAACCTTCAGCACAGCTCAAGACTGCAATGATAACACAATTTAAAACCAAACATTAGGGGTGCCTGGGTGGCTCTGTGGGTTAAGCCTCTGCCTTCAGCTCAGGTCATGATCTCAGGGTCCTGGGATCGAGCCCCACATCGGGCTCTCTGCTCAGCAGGGAGCCTGCTTCCTCCCTGACTCTCTGCCTACTTGTGATCTCTGTCAAATAAATAAAATCTTAAAAAAAAAACCAAAACCAAAACAAAACAAAAACTCAAACATTAGATATCACTGTTGTTAATGTCAACCTAACCCTGTGGAACTCTCATGGATGTCTCTTTTAGCTCAGGCCTGGTTTTCTGCCACGCTGTTGCACTGCCTAATTCTTTCCTCCCTCTTCCCCAACTCTCTCTGCACACTGAAAAATTTCTCTTCGATTACACTGAGCAATAAATGCCCTTACCCCTAAGGAGGAAGCAAGTTCCGGGCTTACTCCTGCATATCTAAAAACCATATTAAATGACTCCGTGAAAGGGAAGAGGGGCCAAACATGTTGATTCTGGACTCAAAACAGAATCAAATCAAATACAAAATCTGGAAGAAGCCTTTAACTTAATTTTTTCTCTTACATATCCTGGTGGAAAATTTTGAGGCATGGCTTCTCCCTTTTGTCTCTACAATAGCAAACAGTAAAAACAATAGTAAAGTCATACTTACGCACTACATTATTATTACTGTGAACGTTAATTTTGTGTATCAACTTGACTAAAGTATGCCCAGATAGCTGGTGAAACACTATTTCTGGGTGTGTCTGTGAGAGTGTTTCTGAAAGAGTTTAGCATTAAATCCACAGATGGGGGGAAAGATGATCTGTTCTCACCAATGTACACACGTGTCATTCAATACAATCCACTGAGGGCCTTAATAGAACAAAAAGACGGAGGCCGGGTAAACTCTCCCTTTCACGTTGACATGGGACTGGTCTTCACTACATCTCCTTCCTCCTCTTGATCTTTCCCCTCAATCTAGGCCAACTCATACCCCCCACCTTCGGGGACCCTTCCCAGACTGTCACAGCCCACACCAATCCCTTGTGTCTGAATCTGTATTTGGTTTAGGTATCACCACTTACTTCTTCGTTCCCCACGTGATTTTCTCTGCTGGCCAAGTTATAATGTTCTCCGGGTTAGAGGGCCAGGTCTCTCTCTCTCTGTCTTTTTTTAGAGGAGGTGTTTAGGCAGAGAATGAGGGAGAGAGAGAATCTTAAGCAGGCTCTACTCCCAGCCCAGGGCCCACCTCGGGGCTCTGTCTCACGACCCTGAGATCATGACCTGCACAGAAAATGGGTTGGCTGCTTAAGTGACTGAGCCACCCTGGTGCCCCAGGAGGGCCAGGTCTTAGCAGCCCTCCTGTGATGTGATATCTCAGCATGCGTGCACAGTGTGAGGCTGATGCCTGCTTGTTCAGTGTTTAACTGGAGCCACTTATCCGTGTCCTCTCCCCACAGTTTAGAATGTCAGAGAGCATCTCAGGGGTTCTGAGAGGGGCCAGGAATAATCTGTCTCTCAGGCTAGGGACTGCAGGGGGAGAGAGGGGAGAAAGAGAGCGAGCGAGCGAGTGGGAGAGCCAGAGTGCACGCAGTTACCATCAGTCAGCTTCTGTCCTTAACTTTGCAGGTCCTTCCATTTGATTTTATCAGCTCACCCTGAAGTGATGGGATGAAGACAAACTACTACGGAACAATAAGGAGAAATCTCTATCACAGAATGTGGGTTCCTTGGTGTCTGTCTCATATCAGATCCCAACCTCTGCACTTGCTTTGTCTTCTGCTTTCTGTCTCCCCTCCCCAGCCTACATGCCTCCGTGTAGCTGCCCTTACTTCTGGAAGCCTTCTGGGCCCTACAAGTCTGAGCTAGCAAGACCCAGTTGTTCTCCACTCCTCTCCCAGCACAAAAGCCCAGCTGTATGGCACGAGCCAGTGGGTCTGGCCCGTTAATGAGCACTTAGACGCCGGCGGCGGGGCACAGGCTCCTCCCCGGCATCTGTCCAATGAGTGGACGCCAACTCGGATACCACCCAAAGGACTCACGCATCCCAGCAACCGCACCAATCTCCCAGGCCTCCGGCTCCCACGCCCCTGGCTTCCTCGGCAGGCTTGGCCTTGCCGGCCAGCGCTCCTGTCTTCTAGGCCTCCAGCTCGCGGCCCACGCAGGCAGCCCATGCCTGCCGCCATCTTGCCCACTAGGAGTTCCCAAATGGGGCTGGGGCTCCTGAGCGCCGCACTGCTGTTCGTGGGGAGCGCTCTCCCCGACTCCGGACTCCACTCACTCCCCCGAAGGACTGGGCGCAGCTCCTGGGGGGTGCAGGCCGGTGCCCCTGGGTGGCGGGAGGCCGCACAAGGAGGGCGGAAGGTGCTCCAGGCCCCGAAGGAAGCGGGGGCCGCAGAGGGCAGTATCCGTTCATTCCCCTCTTTGAACAGCATCCCTTGCGTGCTCCCCACTTCTGTAGTGTGTGAATTTGGCTCCCTCCTTTTCTGCTTGCCCAACTACCTTTAAAATGTACAGACCTACGCAGTCTGGTTAATTATGACAGTGTAGTAGTCATCGTAGCAAAAATGCCATACGCTTGTAGAGCGCTGCTGTTTATGCTCAAAACATTCTGAGGTTTGTCATTCCCACTTTAAAGGTTAGGAATTCAAGAGTTGAAAAGGCTGGTAGGTGCCCTTGTCCTACTACACTTGAGAAAAATTCACCCAACAAGTCAAATAGCAAATATTAGAAGTTGCTTCACCAGTCCCAGGCTCTTTAATTGCCATTTTGTCCCAGAAGCAACATGATACCTGGTCAGAGAAACTTATCTTCTTTTTAGATTTTGGGGGAATAGTTTTAACGAACTGTGTTGATTTAATGCCTATTTGTAGTGATCATTTAAGGCATATTTGTCTTAACGCTCCTTCAAGATTCTTTTTTTCCTCAAAATATGGGAATGCCTTAGGTATCCAGATTGCTTTATCTGTTTTTTGAATAGGAATCTAAAAGATTATGTTAGTATGTTAAGATTAGGAATACATATCATCAGATGTTCAGTACAAATAATATATGATTTTTATTTTTAGATTGTGGGACAGCACCGCTTGCAGATGTATTGGAAGGGTCCAGGATAGTAGGGGGCACAGCAGCTCAAACTGGCGCGTGGCCATGGGTAGTTAGCCTGCAGATTCAATCAGGCAAAATTCTTGCTCATATATGTGGGGGAAGCTTAGTGAAAAGTAAGTGGGTCCTCACAGCTGCCCACTGCACTAAGGACACTAGGTATGTATTCGGAGCACAACTCCTCTATTTTATTCTCTTGGGGGATACTTTGTAGTAGTAGAGGACCATTTGATTTCAGCCATGTTCAGTTAAGCTGTGTGTTTACAAGTAGCCATAATGCTTTACACTAGCACACTGTTGAAATGAATCCTATAAATCAGAGGTTTATGCTTTCTGTAACATAGTAAAATAGTAAAAATGTTAAGGACTCTGTCACAATGACTCAGCTCTGCCACTATGGGACCAAAGTGGCCAGTGACAATACAATAACAAAATTGAATAAGTATGCTGTGATCCAAAACAACTTTATTAATGAACACTGAAATTTGAATAAAATAGTATTTTTTTTGTTTTTGTTTTTGTTTTCCAGCTGTCTAAGAGTATAAAAAAACATTTTTTCCCCCTCATGGACCATTAAAAAATAGGAGACAGATTTGGCCTATGGGTATTTGTCAGATTGTGCTTTAAATAATGACAATTGTCTTAAAATTATTATATGGTAACCATGTGTTTTTCTTTCTCACCATTGGATCAAAGATTTTTTTTTTAAGATTTTATTTACTTGAGAGAGAGCACGCACGCATGCGCCCATGAATGGGGGAGGAGCAGAGGGAGAGGCAGGGAGACTCCCCGCTGAGCAGGGAGCTAGACACAGGGCTTGATCCCAGGATCCCAAGATCCCAAGATCATGACCTGAGCTGAAGGCAGCCACTTTGACTGAGCCACCAGGCGTCCCTGTATACTACATTTTTCAAACATACATTTCAGTTCCATAAATTTACCTTCTGAGGAATAGAGGCAGAAAAATAATAAGATACTAAGGTATAAATTAAGGGTACAGAAAGAGATCTAGAAGAAGAGTTTCAGAGTTTGGAATCGATTCTGTTCTTTCAGGGGTGTTTTACAATGCTTGTACAGCATGCTATTATTTATTTATTTATTTTAGGTGGAGTCCATACCCAACATGGGGCTTTAACTCATGACCCCAAGATCAAGAGTCCTATGTTCCACTGACTGAGCCAGCCAGGCACCCTTAAAATGCTACCTTTATTTTAAGATTTTTTATTTATTTGAGAGAAAGCAGAGGTAGAAGCAGGCTGCCGGCTGAGCAAGGAGCCCAATGTGGGACTTGATGCTGGAACCCTGAGATCATGACCTGAGCCAAAGGTAGATGCTTAATTGACTGAGCCTCCCAGACATCCCAGATTTAGGCATTCTCATGTACCTTGCTCATGGCTGGAGAGCAACAAAATCAAGGATCAACTTGTTTTTTGATCCTTGATTTTGGTTTGCCAGAATGAAAACCCACACGCATAACCATAACTATCCCATATGGCTCTCTATTTGAGACATCTCTTGTGATGATGGATTGCTACCTTGGGAAGAATATAATTTCATTTTCGGACAGCTTTAATTCTTAGGAAGTTTTTCTTATGTTGAAATAAGTGTCTTGGTTTTTTTTTTTTTAATCTGCTTTCTGAAGCCATATATATTTAACCCAAATCCTCCTCTAAGTATTTGAAGATACTGTCATATTCCACTTAACATTTCTCAAGACTAAATCTTATTGATGTTTTTACTCCTTTATTCAACATTGACTGAATGTATGTTATATGCTAGGGACTGGTCTAGCTGCTGGGGCAATAGACATTACTGAGGCATATTCTCTACTTTTCAGAGGACTAACTTTGCTACATTCTGTTCCAGTCCCCCTCATTTCCTAAACCTTGCACCATCAACTATCCCTTTTTCCTTCTTAGAACAAGCATTTATCAAAGACTTGCTCTGAGATTAGGTACTAAGGATGTTACATACAATTCTGTGTTTAAAAAAAAAAAAAGCCCTAGGGAGCCTGGGGGTGCTCAGTTGGTTAAGTGTCTGCCTTGGGCTCAAGTCATGATTCCAGGGTCCTGGGATCGAGTCCTGTGTTGGGCTCCCTGCTCAGCAGTGAGTCTGCTTCTCCCTCTCCTTCTGTCCCTCCACCTGCTTGTGCTCGCTCTCAAATAAAATCAAATCTTTAAAAAAAGCCCTCCCAGTAACTCTCTGAGATAGCTGTTATCATCTCTGTTTTACACTTGAGGAATCCAGAGATGAGGGAGATGTGGTAACTTGCCCACAATCACACTGCTGTTAAATAACAGCCCCTCGACCCAAAGCCGGTTCTCCAACCTGTGCTGTAGCATTATACCTCATTGTCTCTAGTACTTTTCAGTCTTCTCCCTGGTTTCTTCCCTACAACCCTCAAGCATGTTTAGGTCACTCCATCGTTATTTAAAAATCCAAGCAACCTATCGACGAACCCTACCGTTTCTTCTTTTTTATTTGAGAGACTCCCTTTTGCTTCATCTGCACTGACTTATAAAATGCCAATTGCAGTCTTATTTCTGTGCTCTGAACACACTATTAGAGATCCCTCTCCATGCCAAATCCAATGACCTCTTCTCAGTCCCCATCCTATTTGATCTTCATAATGTGGCAAAGCTGACCACTGTTCTCCTAGAAACTCTTTTCTTGATTTCTAAGTCCCCTCTAATTTTCTCCTTTTCCTTGACGAGTCTTTGTCATCATCTAAATGGCAACATTTCCACTCTTATCCTCCTGCCTTACCTGTACGCTCTTCTAGAGATGTCTCATCTACTTCTGTTTCAGCAATCACCATGTACTGGAAACTCCAAGTCTTTCCAGCTGAGTCATATTTCCAGCTCCCTACTATATATCTTTTTACTGGAGTCACTGTCTCAGTAAGTTGGAAAATGAATAAAATCTCTCCTCCAATCCTGTTCCTTCTCTATTCTTTCAGATAATGGCATCAACAACAGCTCTGTGACCCAGGGAATTTGCTTTCTCTACACAGTATCTCTTAAATTTGTTTCTTCTGTTTCCCGGTGCTCCACACGGATTAGAAAAAATTACACTTACACTGCCCACACTTACACTACTACTATCATAACTGTCCTAATGAGTGTGAAGTGGTATCTCACTGTGGTTGATTTGTAATTCTCTAATGACTAATGATGTTAAACATCTTTCCACGTACTTATTGGCTATTTGTATATCTTCTCCGAAGAAGTATCTATTTAGGGGCACCTGGGTGGCTCAGTGGGTTAAGCCTCTGCCTTCAGCTCAGGTCATGATTCCAGGGTCCTGGGACCGAGCCCCACATCAGGCTCTCTGCTCAGCAGGGAGCCTGCTTCCCGCCCCCACCCCCCCGCCTGCCTCTCTGCCTACTTGTGATCTCCCTGTCAAATAAATAAATAAAAATCTTTTTTAAAAAAAAGGAAGTATCTATTTAAATCATTTGCCCATTTTAATTGGGATTTTTGTTGAGATGTAAGAGTGCTTTTTATATTCTTCATATCAATCCCTTATCAAATATATAATCTGAAATTTTTTTCTCCCATTCTGTGGGTTGTCTTTTTACTCTCTTGGAAAATGTCCTTTTTATTTTTTTAAGATTTTATTTATTTTTTTAACACACAGAGAGAGAGATCACAAGTAGGCATAGAGGCAGGCAGGAAGAGAGGGGGAGAAAGCAGGCTCCCCGCTGAGCAGAGAGCCTGATACGGGGCTCGATCCCAGGACCCTGGAATCATGACCTGAGCTAAAGGCAGAGGCTTTAACCCACTGAGCCACCCAGGCACCCCTGGAAAATGTCCTTTGACATACAAAAGTTTTTACTTTTGAAGAAGTTCCATTTATTTATTTGATTTTTTGGGTTACCTGTGTTTTTGGTGTTATATCTAAGAAATCATTGCCAAATCCAATATCATGAAGGTTTTCTCCAGTGTTTTTTTTTAAGATTTTATTTATTTGTTTGTCAGAGAGAGAGCACAAACAGGGAGAGTGGCAGGTAGAGGGAGAAGCAGGATGCCTGCTGAGCAAGGACCTCCCCCCACACTAGTCAAAGGCAGATGTTTAAACAACTGAGCCACTGAGGAGTCCCTTGTTTTACTTTTACATTTAGGTCTTTATCTATTTTGAGTTAATTTTGCATATGGTATAAGGTCAGTGTCCAACTTCATTCTTTTGCATGTACATATACAATTTTGCCAGCACGATTTGTTGAAAAAGCCTGTCCTTTCCCCACTGAATTGTCTCAACACTTTTGTTGAAAATCACTTGAGCCCATATGCAAGGCTATATTTCTGGGCTCTCTATCCTTTTTCATTGGGCTGTGTATATATCTGCCAGTACTATACTGTTTGGATTACTGTAACTTTGCTATAGTTTTGAAGTCTAGAAATGTGAGTCCTCCAACTGCATTCTTCTTTTTCAAGATTATTTTGGCTATTTGGGTCCCTTGACATTCTGTGTGAATTTAAGATGGGTTTTTCTATTTCTTCAAAAAATATGGAGATTTTTATAGGGATTGCATTGAATCTGTAGTGCTCCTTGGATAGTATTGTCATCTTAATAATATTAAGCCTTCCAATCCATGAACATGGGATGTCTTTCCATTTATTCAGGTCTTCTTTAATTTCAGCAATGTTTTGCAGTGTTCAGTGTACACAGCCTGTTTTTGAATCTTATGGTCTGATATAAATTGAAGTGAATAAGGAATATAAGTTGAATAAGTTTGGAAAAGAAAAGAACAATGATTATTTCAAAGTAGCTTAAAGCAGTGATTTCTTTTTATACAAAATAGAACTAGGGCTTTAAATTTTTTGGGTAAACTTTCTAGAGGTCGCCTAAACCATTTTTAAGATAGCTAAATATCTACAGTGCAATTTGGAGTGCCTAAGTGGCTCAGTCAGTTGAGCTTCCAACTCTTGGTTTTGGCTCAGGTCATGATCTCAGGGTCCTGGGATGGAATCCTGAGTTGGACTCTGTGCTCAGCAAGGAGTCTGCTAGTGATTCTCTCTCTCCCTCTTCCCCTGCCCCTCCCCCTGCTCTGTCTGTCAGATAAATAAAATCTTAAAACAAAATACAATGCAACTTTTATAGACTATTGGTACATGCTGCCAAGATACCTGTTTATACATTCCACATGAATAAGTATTCCTTTGTTTTTATGACTGTTGCTTGTCCTGAGCGTTATCAGACACACACACACACACACACACACACACACACACACACTCATAAACTTTGCCAATTTGAAGGATGAAAAGGAATTTCAGCATCTGTAAACAATGTATAAAGTAAAAAAGTCCTCCTTCCCAATCTACTTCCAAATGTAACTACTATTAAATGCTTAAGGTTTTAATTGTTGATTTTGACTTGCAAAAGATTTTTCAGGGACACCTGGGTGGCTCAGTTGGTTGAGCAGCTGCCTTCGGCTCAGGTCATGATCCCAGCGTCCTGGGATCAAGTCCCGCATCGGGCTCCTTGCTCATCAGGGAGCCTGCTTCTTCCTCTGCCTCTGCCTGCCATTCTGTCTTCCTGTGCTTGCTCTCTCTCCCTCTCTCTCTGACAAATAAATAAATAAAATTTTAAAAAAAAAAAAAAAAAAAGATTTTTCAGTTTGGTTTTTTACTTGTTCTTTGTTTTGTTTTGTTTTTAAGATTGTCAAGATCCATTAGTTGCTTCCTGTTTTATATCAGTGCTATCATTGTTATGTATTCATCTACATTTTCTTTCTGGTTTAATTTTTATAATTCTCATGCTAATTTAATATCCAAATGTTTCATTCTAAAACTTCAAAATTTACAAAAGTAAAGGGAATAGTTTCATGAACTCCCATAAGCCTATCACCCAGCTTCAAGTTATCAACACATCCCTGAACTTATTTCATCTTTATCCTCACCAACCCCTTCTCTCAATTACTTTGAAGCAACTCTCAGACATACCACCTTATGTATTTCTAAAAGAAGACTTAAAGACTTTTATATTAAAAAATTTCTTATATTTAAACATTTAATCAATATCAAGTTTATTTTACTGTTTAATGTTTTTCAGAGATTTAATTTTATTTCACTTTTCAAACTAGTTAGTTAGCTAGGTGTCCCAATACCATTTATCAAGTCATTCAATCTTTTGTCCACAAGTAAGAGGTGCTACCTTAATCATATATTAAAATGTCATATACTTGAACCTGGGGACCCTCTGTTCTACTGATCTTTTTCTCCTTTCCTACATCATGATATATTGGTTTTTATTTGATGTGACCTCATGTATATGAAAGTAGGATTCTATTCTAATCTAATATAAGAAAAACAAAAAACTAGGAGATTGAGAATATTTACCTAGTTAAATAACATGTTTATAATAACATTTATTCTCTTTCAGAGATCCTTTAATGTGGAGAGCTGTGATTGGAACTAACAGTATAAAAGGGCATCATCATCCACACTCCAAGAAGATAAAAGTTAAAGCAATCATTATCCATCCAGACTTTAATTTGGAAAATTACGTAAATGATATTGCACTATTTCACTTAAAAAAAGCAGTGAGGTATACTGAGTATATTCAGCCTATTTGTCTGCCTTTTGATGTTTTCCAAAAACTGGACCAAAACACAAAGTGTTTTATAAGCGGCTGGGGAAGAACAGAAGAAGAAGGTAATTACAGTCTGAATTTTATTTATACATTTTTTCCTGGTTATTGGAGAGGGTGAACCCTTTTGTATATTCATCTCTTTATATCATGAGTTTGAGCAATAGGTCTTTATAAACCATTGAAAAGGAAATGTCTTTTCTTGTATTTTTTTTTCTTCCTTGTAGGAAAGAGAAAGTTATCTTCCAAAACAGAAATAGAGACTTTCTCCAGTTATGCTTGCTAACATATTTGTACCTTTAACCATTCTCAGAAAGAATGATGATTCTAAGTGTTTTTGTAGGTTTCTGAGACTCATAGATGATAGAACCAGCTCTGTAAGAGGATTGCTTATTGTAAATAATAAGCTTCTGGCTGTCAGGAATCAAATTTAGTATCCTTTTAATTTAGTACCCTGTTTAATATCAAACAGGTTGAGTGCCCTATATTTTCTTTAGTGCACAAATGAGCACTAATTATTGACTGGTTGAACTACTATGAACTATGAACAAATAAATGTAGAAAATAGTCTCTGCCTTTGGTTCTAAAAATAGTTACCATTTGGGACATTTGCCATGCTTTAGGCCTTTTTCTAAATATATTATTTTATCTTATCTTCAGAATATTCCTGTTAGGAAGTTAATGTCATTATTCCCATTTAACAGACCAGGAGTTGTGGATCTGAGCGGTTGAGAAGCTAGGGCACAAATCAAGGTCTTCCTTATTCTACAGCCTGAATAGCTAAGTACTGTGTTAAGTACCAACTGTTCTTGATGGAATCAAAGTCTAGTTAGCAATATATGAGTTCAAGTGCTGAGACTCTTTTTTCTATTCCCTATGGAAATTAGCCATTTAAATATGTGTAGAGGGGTGCCTGGGTGGCTCAGCTGATTGGGCGTCTGACTCTTGATTTTGGTTTGGGTCATGATCTCAGGTCCCTGGGATGGAGCCCCACATCAGTCTCCCCACTGAGCAGGAAGTCTGCTTGGGATATTCTCTCTCTATAATGGATCAATAGATCTTTAAAAAAAAATGTGTAGATTAGAAACACCTGGCTGGCTCAGTCCAAAGAGCATGCAACTCTTGATCTTGGAGTTGTGAATTCGAGACCTATGTTAGGTATAGGGATTACATACATACATACATACATACATACATACATAAACTTAAAAAAAAAAAACCCTCAACTTTAAAATAGTTAAATAAGTGTAGATTATTTAGATATGATACAGATAAATGTATGAAAGATCTTTGAAGAACTAATTTTTTCCTCTGTGAATGCTGTTTAAACAAGTTAAGAAAGCAACATGCATAGGGAAAAGACTATGGCTTTAGAATCATAGACGTAAGCCTGAATCTCAGCCCTGTCATGTACTAGCTGAATGACCATGGGCAAATTATTGACTCTTTAACAACAGTTAGAACAACAGTGATCCAAGTAGCTTCCATTTATTCAGGGCTAGGTACTTAATAAAATGCTAAGCCCCTTAATGCATTTCTCATTTAATGCCCTCAATAACACTATGAGAAGTACTATGACATGGATAAATAAACAGATTTAAAGAGGTTAAATGAGGGTTGCCTAGGTAGCTCAGTTGGTTAAGCATCTGCCTTTGGCTCAGGTCATGATGTCAGGGTCCTGGTATCAAGTCTCATATTGGAAACTTTGCTCAGCAGGGAGCCTGCTTCTCCCTCTCCCCGATGCTCCCCCTGCTTGTGCTCACACACACACTCTCTCTGACAAGTAAATAAAATATAAATAAATAAATAAATAAATAAATGAAATAAAATAAAGAAGTTAAGCAAGCTGCCCAAAGTTACATAGCTAAGTGAGGAGTAAAAATTCAATCCCAGGTTGGTCTGCCGCAAAACTCTTGCTTCCACTATATTATACCATCTTTCACACTGTCATACCTGTCATGACCTGAAAGATGAGAGCTGACCTCTCTGACCTGTCAGAGAGCTGTTTTAAGGACTAACATGGTCAATTACATGCACACACCAACCTTCCCAGTGAAAACTATTTTAATTTTTTAAAGATTTTATTTGTCAGAGAACGCACGCAAGCAGGGAGAGCAGAAGGCAGAGGGAGAAGCAAGCTCCCTGCTGAGCAAGGAGCCCAATGCAGAACTGGATTCCAGGACCCCGGGATCATGACTTGAGCTGAAGGCAGACGCTTAACTGACTGAGCCACCCAGGCGTCCCCCTGTGAAAACTATTAACGGAGAAAATACACAGGTCAAGGACTGAATGTGAAGATGGGAACTTAGGTAACTGAAGCAGTGAAGTTGGCTTTTATCTTGAGGATATTTGCCAGTAGTAACACTGAATATGAATTTCTGTGGTCTGATGGGGCCTGAGAGCGTTGAAGAACAAAGCCGCTCAAGTGTGTGAGAGGAGGGTCTCATCAAGCTGGAGCCAGAGGGCTACACTCCAAGAATGAGTCAGACTCATGACCCAGTGTCTAGTTCATCTATACATAGTTCGCTTTAAATATGATACAGGCAGGTTGAAAATAAAAGGATGGGAAAAGATATATTATGGCAACATTAATCAAAAGAAAACTGGAATAGAAAAAAAAAGAAAAAGCAGGAATGGCTACATTAACATCAGATAAAGTAGATTTAAGAGCAAATAAAACTACTAGGGACAATGAGGAACATAACAATGATATAAAGGTAAATCCACAAAAGAGGCATAGAAATCTTAAATGTGTATGCACCAAACACTAGAGATATCATTCCCTCCTTCCTTCCTTCCTTTCTTCTGAGAGAGAGAGAGAGAATCCCAAGCAGGCTTCGAGCTGAGCACCAAGCCTGACACGGGGCTCAGTTCCAGGACTCTGAGATCATGACCGGAGCCGAAACCAAGAGTAGGTCGCTTAACCAACTGTGCCCCGCAGGAACCCCCAGAGATATAATTCTTAAAAACACACACATGGGGGCGCCTGGGTGGCTCAGTGGGTTAAAGCCTCTGCCTTTGCTCCGTCATGATCCTAGGCTCCTGGGATGGAGCCTCGCATCACGCTCTCTGCTCAGCAGGGAGCCTACTTCTCTTCCTGTCTCTCTGCCTGCCTTTCTGCCTACTTGTGATCTGTCAAATAAATAAATAAAATCTTTAAAACAAACAAACAAAAAACACACACATGTACATATATTTATGATATGACCCAGCAGTCACACTCCTGGGCATTTATCCCAGAGAAGTGAAAACGTATTTCCACACAAAAACCTGGTCACAAATATTCACAAAAGCTTTATTGGTAGTATCCCAAAACTGGGAAAAAGTAAACTTACTTAATTAGGGGAAATGATTAAACAAACTGTTGTATATCCTTAACCGGGAATGATACTAAACAATTAACAGGAATTAGCTATTGATATGTGTATCAACTTAGATGGCTTATGCTAGGTGAAAACAAAAGCCATTTTTAAAAGATACATTCTATATGATTCCATTTATATACCATTCCTAAAATGACAAAATTATAGAGATGGAGAACTAATTACTGGTTGCTAGGTGTAAAAAGGCTAGGTAGCCTAAAGGAGATCTTTGTGATGGTGAAATAGTTCCATATCTTAATTGTGGAGGTAATGGTAAGAATGTACACATACGATTAAGTGGAGCGGAACGACACACATTGAACCAATGTCAGTTTTTTGATTTTGATATTGCACATCAGTTACACAGATGCAACCATTTCAGGAAGCAGGATAAAGAGCACCCTGGACCTCACTGTACTACTTTTGCAACTTTCTGTGACTCTAATTATTATGAAATAAAGTTTATTTTTTTTAAGAACAAGATAAAACCAAAGCATCCTCAACCTCCATCCCCACCCCCAGGATTTCTAGGAAAACTGCTTCATTAAAGGGAAAAAGGTAGGAATTTTCCCAGAAAACATGTAATTGCAAATACCACTCATATGGAGTTGCTGCCTCAAATCACTCTGAATAGAAAGACTCAGGCTTAGGATTTAGGTTAAATAGGTCATAAACTGTTAAGGTCTCTAGATGGCTGAGAGAATCAAATGCACATCATTTGTATAGAAACTGAATTTCATCTAAGACCTCAAAAGAATTTCACCTGATAAAGTTTAAATGAAAATGGATTATAATTTTAAAAATCACTAAACACCAAAGCAAATAAGGTATTATGAGTAAGAGTCAGCAGGAACAATAGATATCAAAAGAAGACCTGCAAAAATGTCAGATATTGGGATCAAATAATAAAAAGGTGTTTAATATAGTACAAGAAATAAAAGATGTACTTAAAAATATGAATAAAAAGGAGCTATGAAAAAGAACCAAACAATGATAATAATTTAAAAATATAATAATTGAGGGGCACCTGGTTGGCTCAGTCAGTTAAGTGTCTGACTCTTGATTTCAGCTCAGGTCATGATCTCAAGGTTGTGAGATCGTGCCCCACGTCAGGATCTGCACTGGGTGTGGAGCTGCCTTAAGATTCTCTCTCTCCCTTTGCCCCTCCCCCTCAGCTCATGTGTGTGCTCTCTCTCGCTCTCTCTAAAAAAAAATTTAATAAAAAATACAATAATTGAAATAAACTCAATGGACTAAATTAGTACCAGGTCTGAAAATACTTAGGATTCCTACAGATTAAAATCAACCAAATATCCCCTTACAACCAAAGATCACCAAACACGTTAGGAGAAAAGCCATAATAATGAAAGTCAACGGAAATAAAACAACAGCTCGCCCAAGGATTTCAGATATTAATATTTTAGGTGTAGAATACAAAATAAGTTTATGTAAATTGTTTGAAGAAATTAAAAAACAGAATTAGAAATAAGCAATAGACTATCTAGAATGACCAGGCAGATTTAAAAGAGAACCAGGGGTGCCCAGGTGGCTCAGTGGGTAAGTCTGATTTCAGCTCGGGTCATGATCTCAGGGTTGTGAGATCAAGCCTGTGTTGGGGCCCATGTTGGGTATGGAGCCTACTTGGGATTCTCTCTCTCTCTCTCCTTCTGGCCCTCCCCCATCTCTAAAAAAAAGAGAGAGAG